TTTAATTTTTTCAGTCCTATTTTACAGACTCTTAAAAAGTATTTTGAGTTTTGTCAAATCCTTTTACATCATCAATGAAAATAATATAATTTGTTATTTAATTTATAACTATATTAATAGATTGTCTAATAGTGAGTCATTATTGCATTCCTGAAGTAAATTCCACTTGGATATGAAGTATCATTCTTTTAATGTAGTGACAGATTGTCGCTGCTAATTTTTTATTTAGGATTTTTATACTGATGTTTAGAAGTGCAGTTATTCTGTAGATTGGCCTATTTTATCTCCTCAGATTTTAGTAAAGACTTTCCTGGCCTGCGGGTAAGTCCACGGAGACCCTAAAGGGGGGGGTGGGGATGAAAAGAAAACAAGAAACACAAAGAGAGACAGGAGACAAGACAAAGAAGTCCAATCAGGTATCCTTTACTCAAGGAAGGAGTATCAAATATATAGGGTATTGAGGAGGAGGGAGTTGGGTCTGAGACATCAGCAGGTAACTTAGCAACAGTGGCAAGACCGAGGGTTATAGGTCAATTCAAATTTCCCTGAGCGGGCTCATAAGGTGGGCTGATTAGCTTATGCCTATTCCTCAGTAGGCCAAACAAGCTAGGTAGGCAAGTGCTGCTTCACTACCAAACTTAACTCCTAGAGGGGGTTAAGGTGGTGCGGCCTGCAGATACAAGGTGGCAGCCAATTACAGGGCTTCCCACAAAAGATTTGCTGAAAAACACAATGTTGGAAATTAACAATTATATATTTAACAGTGGAAAAAATGCAGCAGAAAACAGGATTAATGAAGACCTATTTAAATACTGAAGTCCTATGTAAAGACCCGAACTAAGACACAGAAAGAAACAAAATGAACAGAAAATGAAGTCCATAATGAGACATAATCAAAAAGTCAACATGTGTGTAGCTGGAGTCTCAGAAACAGAAAAAGCATGGGTGGAATAAATATAAAACGATACTTTAAGAGATATTGACTGAGAACTGTCCCCGCCTGAGATTAATCCTTATGTTCAAAAAGCTCAGCATGTGATCATGAAAAGACAGAGAGAGCTGACCATAGGCATATTGTTAAAATGCTGAAAATTAAAGCAAAGAGGGCATTGTAAAAATATCCAGAAAAGAAAGACACAAAAGTAATGCTAATAATACTGACAGTAAAATTTTCAGGTGACAGTAAAATAGCATTCTTTTGTTTTGCTATTGGTACCAGACATTGAACTCAGGACCTCACACTTGCAGGGCAGGTGCTGTGGCCCTGAGCTATGGCCCCAGCAAAATGGCACTATTAAAGTGCTTGAGGAGAGCCAGGCATGGTGTGCATTCCTGTAATCCAAGCACTGTGGGAGGCTGCAGCAGGAAAATTATAAATTCCAGCCCAGCCTGAGCAATTTAGCAATTTAGCAAAACCCTGTTTCAAAAATTAGAAAATAAACGAGTCAAGAGTCAAGGATGTAGCTCAGTGTAAAGGTCATGAGTTCAATCCCAGTGCAAAAAAAAGAAAGAAAACAGCGCTCAAAAACACAATGCTAATTTAGGATCTTTTACGATTGAAAATATCCTTTAAAAATAAAGAGAAAACAAAGACATTTTTAGGATTAAAAAGCTGAAAGACTTCATCAGATTCCTGTTTGACATTGTTTATACCATTAGACTGAAAATAACATTCCAATATTTTTGTAGTTTCTCCTGAAAAGTCACATGTAAATCCAGCTGTGAATCCTTTGAAGATAACTTCATTTTTCCTTGCAGCTTTCCAGACTTTATCTTTGGTCTCTTTAGTTTCACTATAGTATATTTAGACATGAATTTCTTTTAATTTACCCACCTTGACTTTCATTAGGGCTTTCGAATTGTGAATACTTACCAATTCTAGAAAACTCTTAACCATCATTTCTTAAAACTATCTTTGCTTCATTACCTTTCTTTCTGAGTTTCCAATTAAAGTGTTCAACCTTTTCATGCCACCTGCCTGATCTCTTACCCATCCATGTGTATTTTCCATGTACCTTATTTCTTTTATTTCTTTAGATTACCTTCTAGTTCATCATTTTTTTCATAAAGTTATCTTATCAAATTTATTCCTTGAGGTTTTTTCTTCAAAGTTTTTCTTTATTTAATTTAAGCTATTTTTTCTATAAATCCTCCAGTGTGACTCTTTTCTAATGTTTTAAATCTCTTCCTGTCCTCTAGATATAGCCTTGAGCTCATCTATTTGTTCCTATATGGTCTATGTCTTCCTTATCACTGAGACCACAACACCTGCAACTGACACCTGCAACTTGAAGGAAGAGAGGTTTATTTTGACTTGCAGTTTGTAGAGGTTTCAATCCTTAGTCAAGGATTGGCCCAAGGCAAGATGGCATTGCAAAGGGGCATGATAGGGAAAAAGTTGTTTTGTTGTGGTGGCAGAGAAACAGAGTAATGGGATGAACTGGAGTAGGGGTCGCGGAGGCCATGCGCTCAGTGGTCTGCTTTTTCTGAAGAAACCCCACCTTCTAACAGTGAGTCAGCTATAAACCTTCTGTAATTCAGTCACAGTCCAAAAGCCCTGCCTATGAATGCATGTGGCCCTTGGAGGATACCTAGATATAAATCATAATGTTCTATAACTGGTGACTCCCAGTATCTGGGTTTTTCTGTGCCTATTTCTATTTTTCTCATATCACTGATTTTAACACATGGAGTTTTCTTTGTATATTTCATTATGCTGGGCTGTGTGCTTTTTTTTTTTATTTTAAAGAGGATAAAACCAAGGAAAATAAACAGAATAAAATCAATCAAAATAAACCAGAATAAGTGATACAAGACTTCCCAATTCTTATGAAATCAACAATAGTTACTACAATGCCTTTGTTGTCTTCAAAATAGCTTGCAGATACCACCTTCAAACATACTAAAAATCATACAGGACAGAATAGAATAGAAACAATAAAAACAAAGCAATAAACCAATAAAAACAAATGCAATAAAGAACATCAAAACAAGCCAGTAGTAAATACATAATGGCTTCCATAACATGTCTAGCTATCTTTTAAATGTCTGCTCGTGCCATCAGAATTAACATATACAAAAGAAAAGAAAAGAAAAACCTAATAAAACAATGAAAATGATATGGTTTCTGGGTGAGGATCACCTCCCTGTGGGGCCTGCTTCTCTCCCTCTGCAGTCCCCAATTGGCGCTGACTCACAGAGAGAGGCTTGGATCTGGCTCTCCCCGAGCTGGCAGCAGCCTGCGGTTTGCAGACAGGGATCTCCTCCCGCTGGGCCTCGTTTTCTCCCTGGACAGCCCGCACTGACTCTTGCTGGGCTGTGTGCCTTAAAAAAAAAAAAATGTTAATAAGCTTAAAACTTTGCACGCAGGTAGATTCCTCTAAACAGAAATGAGTTGGTTTTTCTGTATATTTCGGTACGTATTGCCACCAAACTCAGAGCTTGATGGTTCTCTGCAGTCTATAGAAAATTCCATCGTGGTCTTCAGCTATGAACTAGAGCTAATCTGGTTTCCAGTTCACCTTCACCTTGGGGGTACAGTCCTTTGTGGGGACTATGTGTAGACCTCTATTGTAGGGAAGGTCTTCTTTATGGCTTAAGCTAATTAACTTATGAAAAAGTGTTTGACATCATCCATAATTAAGAATATGTGAGTTAAAGCAACAGTAAGTTTTCACCCATCAGATCATTCAGTTTCACTCGTCAGAAAGTTTAGACATTTTGAGAAGGAAATTTACATGAAAATATTGACGGCTCTTTTCTCCAAACATCAGGGTAGAGACTCAGTGAAAGGGAAGAAGACATTTCAGTCTCACTGCATGTGCTTTGGTGGTATCATTTTGACTTAATGTATAAATTTTAATAAAAACACTTTAAACCTTTGAGCCAAAGTCTTGATGCTAGCTTTTTCTTTTATTTTTTCTGTATCCAAAGTAATAGGACTTGAAGAACTTTAAATGATAAAGAGTTGTCTATTTAGTGGCCAATTAGGTCATATAATAAATAATCCAGAAGAGTTTACTAAAAAATAAGGTGCAGGTAGTTACACTTTCTGGGTTCTAATAAAAATTTAGAGCGTAGACCAACAAAACAGTAGCAGTACTTAAGCATTTCCTTTTTTAATGTTGATGTTAAAGTGACATACCTGCTGTAAGATTGCAGAAGCCTAATGGAATGTAATTTATAGGTCAGGGGCCTCACTTTTACTCCAAGAACCAAGCTGATGACTACATTTTGAATCAAGGCAGTGACTTAAATTTCTGTTCTAAACAAAAGTGTTCCTAGTATTTAAAAATTAATAATTTAAAATATAGTTTTATTCATTTATGTTTTCCATGTATTCATCTACTACTCAGATATGGCAAATATATGTGTTTTTTATATGTGTGTTTGGTTTTGACTGCTGTTGTTTTTTTTTTTTTGTTTTGTTTTGTTTTGTTTTTTTAATCGGTACCGGGGATTGAACTCACGACTGCCTGCTTGCAAGGCAGGTACTTATGCCACTGAGCTAAATCCCCAGCCCTGACTGCTGTTGTTTTGATGTGATTCCTTTTAAGTAGATTTTTTTTTATTTTTAAGGTTATTGAATCTTTTTTCCTACTCCCTTGATTAGACTTAAATCCCTCTCATGCTGAGAACCTCTTCTCAGATATATTTGGTAAAAATCAGCTTAGAGCCAGGGCGCCAGCTCATGTATGGGATAAAGATGAGGCATAGGTTTATATTCTAGACTATAAAACTGAAAACTATTTATGATGAAAGAATTATCTTGGAACACCCACCACGATATTCATAGTTTGTGTATTTCTTGCAATGACCAAGAAAGGTCGCATACTAGTTAAATTTTCCAATCTTGTCTTATCTCTAGATTAATGGAATGGAGGAAGAATGAAATATCTAACGGTTCTGCTATATTTTCTAGCTGGAATTGCAAATAAAATAGATTACAAGTAACATTCTAGAATAAATCTGAAATTTATTTGTACTTTGTTCATTCCTAGGTGAGAAAATATTTGTATCTCTCTATGGAGCTGCCACAGACATGAATATAAGACTGGACAAGAACTCCTTGACCGTGGAGAAAACCTACATCTCGCTGGCCAGTCAGCGGACTGTAACCATCCACAACCGCAGTAACATCATTGCCCATTTCCAGTGGAAAATATTTGCCACCCAAGAAGAGGAGGACAGAGAAAAGTATAGGTTTGTAATAAAAATCGCCTATGTGGAGCAACGAGGGGCTGTAAAACTCAGTTTGTCATGACTTTTATAGTAAGTTTCTAACCAGCTCAATGTGAAATTTTTATAAATTGGTTCCAGTGTCTGAAGCCTTTTTGGAGCTGTTCATTTAGAGAATCTGAGCTGGGCTATGGGGAAAAGCATTTCGCCCTTCTCAGTCTCAACCTGGTCATAATGCAGCCATGACAGAACTAGATTTCAAAGAGCAAATATTTCACTCGATCCTGTTCTTTCCAGACTAATCTACATGGGTGTATTTCTCTTCATAATTCTACCCATGTCCACTTGCTTTCATAAAAAGTTTCTAAAAATTATCTATTTTTGGTTGGTATCAATGCCAATTTTTTTCAGTGAAAAGGTATCTCTAGAAAATAGGGAAGTATAAGGAAGAAGAGAAGGGCTGAGATTTTTATATTCTTGGCTTTAGCAACATTGTTCTCTCGCTGCAAACCATGTTTAATAATCATTATTGGTATCTGTAATATTTTACTTTTTAAAAAAATGGTACCCCAGCCAGTAGATAAAATTAGTGAAACGTAAAACCAAACTGTTTTGACTAATCTCATCACTGTTAAATTTTTAACATCTTTCTTTACCAAACCCATCTTTGCCTCTTTTAAGCTGTATGTTCAATTTTATCTCTTTCCCAGAATTAATGCTTTTGCTGCTTTCATTGGAATTTATTTCAGCTTTTTTTCATTTGCCTTTCCATTTCCATTAAAGATTAGCCCTGGGAAGCTTCAAAAGCTTTGTCTAACACCAAGTTAGTATGGGATAAAAATAAAAAGTCTTAGGTCCATGGGAACCAGGTAGAAATCCCCCAGTGCGCTGTCCCTAATTGAATCAGAAGGAGCTGTGACAATGGCAGGACACAGTAAGCGCGCAGCTTTTTCATTCAGACAATGAACTTTAATCACAGGATTACCACTGTGCCATCTTCAAAAAGTGAGAAAAGAAAAACCTTTCCTGCTTACAAACTTCACTGGGCCTCGCGGTATGGAAATTGTCAGTGGTAGCAAAGTCTAAAAAAAATCCATCTGCTGATTCTTCAATTGGCAGGTGCTAACAAGCCATCAGATCACAAGGGTCCAGTATAGTTAAAGATAAAGCAGATGTTGCTTCAAAGACAAGAATCCATGGCGAATCAAGAAGGTGAGACAGCGGTAAAGGTAGTGCATCGATATCAGGATGAACTACGGGGAGAATGAGCACACGTCATGAATCAAGGAGGGAAGCTGGCTTCATTACAATCCTGTCTGTGTTTGACTGTGTGCACTATGTGATGATGCCATCATGTTGTCCAGAAAATACTTAAGAAAGTTCATCTCAATGGGAAAGAAAAAAAGAAAGAGAGAAAGCCAAACATTATCAGAGACTCTAGAAGATATAATTCCTCCACACATACATGGGCTTCTCCTCTCTGCGTCACCTCCCCTGACACTCACATCCCTGTCTCCTTGGTATCTTTAGTGTCATTATTCTTGTCTTTTGCTTGTCTTCCTGTTCCTATCTCCCTTGCTCCTCCTAGCATTTCTTCTAGCACTTTTTGGATTAAGGGGACGGGACAGTATAGCATTTTTATAACTGTGATTGGGAGCCTAAGGTTAACTAAGCTATGCCCCTATGCTATGCCTAGATTATACCCCTCTCTTAAACAAGGAATTTGAGAAGGGTGTTAGATAGCTGAATAAGAATACCTTCACTTTCATTTTGGATCATGTACAGCAACAGAATATAATCCGGAACCAGACTGATTTATCCCAGTGAAGTTTATTGACAGTGCTGCCTTCTTTTCCTCTTCCCCTTCTCCTGAGTGCCAGATGCTTAGAGAAAAGGGGGAACAGAAGCCATCTATGTCTGGTTTCTTATAGGACCAAGAATGGGATCTTCTCTCTTTTCCCTCTCTTGTTCCTTGATCCATCCCCAGGTATGCCTCAAGTCTCATATTACTAGCCGTGGATTCTTGTCTTTGAAGCAGCAGCCATGAAATTCCCATTTGCTTTAAAAACAAGGCAAGCACAGGGCTGTTTGTACCTTACTGAGCACCCAGTTCCTGTCTCAGCACGCTGCCCCCTCCAGGTGCAGTGCTCTCGGGATGGGTGTGTCTCTTCCCTTTCCTCCACATCACACATTCTCAGCTTATGTTCCAGGTCATACATAAGCAGCTGACAAAGTATAATGTTCTTTGACAGCCTGCTTAGGGCTAGAAGTGGGTCTAGTGAGACCTTTAGCCAATAGGAAGAATGCTTGCTTGAGCTCCCAGCACAAGGCCGGTACAGGTATCCCTGGAATGCTCCTTTGCATATGTTTCTCTAGCTCATGATGGGAAAAGCTTTCCCTTTGTCCTCTTATTTCAACAGCCTTACAGTTAAAAATGTGGAGAGAAAGGGGGACTTTGGGCCTAAGCTTGGATTACAGAGAACCTGTTCTACGTGGGATGACCCATATTCCCAGAGACTAAACAGTTCCTTTTCAGAACCCCAAGGACCTAAGAACTGGAGCAACTTTAGTGTTATAACCAAACACTGAAGTGATAACTAAATTGCAGTTAAAATATGGCAGGGGTCAAACTTTCTCAAAGGTTACCTTGAAAATACTAATAGTTTTAACAGATCCCCTCGACTCCTGTTCTAGACATCATGGTTTCTTGTTCACCAGCATAATGATGTGCAAAGACTTGGATTTATCTCTTCCCAGTGGATGGATTTTAGCCCATGAAAACCGTATGCCTTTCTGGCAGTTTATCATTTTCACTCTAAGGATGACCTTGCTCTTCACCTGTCTCATTGTGTTGGTGCAAACTGTGGGACACAATAGTCTGGATGTGGCCATCCAGGACTATTCCAAGGTTCAGCTCTGACAATGAAGATATCTGTTCTCTAGGAAGAAGTTCTGAACCTTAAAATTCTTTCTGTTATGAAAAAAAATTCTTTTGACATCAGAAGTGGGGACCTTTAAAAATTGCCTTTTGGTTCTCTTCCTTGATGTTTTTCTGGAAGTGGCAAAGAAATTAATCTCCTCTGTAATGGAGCCTGCCTTCATCCTTCTCCTTTCCTCCCTAGCTTGTCCCGAGAGATTTTTAAAACACTCTGCAAGAATCTTTCATACTCATTCTCATCACGTTTCCTGTATTTGGAGACTCAGCATGAGCTTTTAAGGATTTCTTCTCCTCTGTTTCTCCAGCAAGGTCACAGCCGTTATCTGACGAGCAGGTAGCCTTGATTCTAGATTTGCTCTATCTGAGATTTCCGGGCACCCTCCATGGAGCCCCACAAGATGCTCAGCCTGGGTTTATTCCACAACATTCGGCTGCAGGAAATAGCACATTTCGCTAGATAAATCAGTTTTAATTGGGCTTTGAGTCTGCTATCTAGGTCAGAATAAATTTAATCTCAGGTGAATTTGGAGGCTCTTTCCCTTCCTTGGCACTGTACAAAAATCTAAGGATTTAAGTGGTATCTGGAAAAGAAGAAAAGGACATCTAGTCCTCACTTTATAATAGCCATCATAGAGTTGTTCATTGTCCATGCCACATGGTCCGTCCAGCAGAAGGCAAATGGCTCCATTTGTTTGAAACCAAGTAGGTACCGAAGAGTATTTCTCCCACCCAGATCGGAAGTCCACAGATTTTAATCTACTCACCATTCAGCTAACCATGTCTTGTGCTTCAAGGGAGGTGAGGAAACATTACTCATTCAGTTCTCCATTCCCAAAGACACAAGTCTTGGTAAAATCCAAGGCTTGACTAAAACCCACAGGCTGGCCTGTGTGTGAAGATGTAAGGTGATGGGTGTTAATGCCCACCAAGCTATTTGTAAAATGTATTAAGTCTATTGTTTTACTGAAGACAAGGACTGGGCTATTTAATGCTAATCAGAGGTCTCCTCATCTGTAAAGAATCACTCTGAGTGCAAGAACATGTGACTATCTACAAGACGATGAAGGCATAGGCTGATATGAGCATGTGGCCGCCCTTATTGGAGTCTTGGCAGCTGAAGGCTCTTGTTACACACACACACACACACACACACACACACACACACACACACCCTTAGACTCTCAGCCCTGCTCCAGTTCTTCAGAAGGAGGCAAAGAGGAATCTGTCAGCATCTCCCATCCTACTCTTTTCCATCTATTGGCTATTACTGATTCAGAGTCCTAACAGCGTAGGAGAAGAACAGAGTTTGGGAATTTTTGTTTTATATTCCTTTGTCTTCCAGTGTGAAGTTGAGCTAATCATATCCCTTTATTCATAGAGCACTGCCATTCTTGGTCTACATTATGTAGTTTATTCTTTTACATCCCTCTTTCCATTCCCATTAATTTCCCCAAAGATACCATTCTAATTTGGGAGAAAGAAAGATAGATAGATAGATAGATAGATGTCATCCTTTGCCCTCAGTTTCCTCCTTTCTCATCTGGACCCACGTGCTCAGGTCCATTGCTGTCGCTGTGTGTCTAACACAGCTGCTCTGGCTCGGTAGACCATGCCCTGCTATTTAACCCCACAGTTTTCCTGTGTCCCTTCCAGTCATGGCACCGTGGGCTCAGGCTAACATTTGCCTTTGTTGAGCATGGAAATGTCTACAGTGCTTTGTTCAAAATATGGGTTGGCATTTAAATTTTTAAATTATTTTTGTTTTCCATTTTCAAAAAAAACATTGGGAACTAATAAAATTTAGAAAATATAAGGTAAGCAGAGAGAGAGAGAGAGATAAAGCAAAAATCAGTTCTAATATTAAAACCTAGAGAAAATCACTGTGAATATTCTGGTATCTTTAACTTTTTTCTTTTTCACAATGTTGTTTTTTTTTTTTTTCCTTTTACTTTTGTATTACAAAACTGGAGTTATTCTATATACATTATTTTCTAATCTGCTTTTTCATTTTTAAAATGCTTCCAGCTTTTGCAAATTGCTGTTCCATAGCCTTCTTTAATGCCATTGTTACAGCTGCTTATTATCCCAATGATACACATGCATCAGAAGAAGCAGTATGGAGTCCTGGCTAACACTACCAAATCCAAGCTCCAAAAGGCCTACTTTGAATTTCAGACTCCATTTTTCAGCTATGTGACCTGGAGCAAGATTCTTAACCTTTCTGAGTTCTGGTTTCATCATCTATAAAGTGAAAATGATGATCATTATAATAATTAGCTCAGACAGTGGTTATGAGTATTAAATTTCCAGATGCCTGTGAAAGGTTAGGCCAGTACCCAGTAACTGAGTGTTTGATTCTCATTATTTGTTTTACCATCTTTCAAGATTTTACACAGTTTACCTACTTTATTTGGTATCATTCGGCACTTTAATAAGCATCCTGACAGCTGTGTCTTTATTTACACCGTGATTTTTTCTTTAAGATTTATTCCTGCAGTCGAATTTATTGTTTCAAAGGCTGTAGAACTTATAAGTCTTTCAGACAGATATCAAATGCCAAGCTAAAAGAAACGAGTGAGTTCCTTTGCTTGCGAACTCTCTTTAATTTGTGCTGTCCTGCCTAGCAGTACAGAAGGACCACCACCGGTTACCTTGGATGCGGCTTCCTGCCTAGCAGGCCAAAGGCAGCGAGGATGCTTTCTTCCTTGGAAGCAGTACACACGGAATTCATTCCTTTGACTTCTTTATACTGTGTGACCAAAGGACGCTGAAAACTGAAGTTGCAAAGAACTAACAGCACTGAGTATACGGTTTATATAAAGTCGTTTAGAAAATCAGTCGGGGTTGGGATAAGATTTCAGGGACCTGAGTCTCCCATTCAGCACTCATTTGCTTAGGATTTGTGTCTCACCACTGGCGATAGCAGTACAATGCTGGGAATGTGGTCCTGTGTCCTGGAAAGAGATCCGATCCAGTCTGAAAATTCAAGTGAAAGGCGAACACAGCTCTGGGGAAGGCTGCTTTTCTGCCTTATCAGAAGAGAACTGCTTTATCAGAGAGAACTCTGATAAAGAGAGAAGGAAGCCTAGTAGGTAGCTTGAGCAGTTTTTGAACTTAGCCCTCAGTGATTGCTTACTGTTGACACAGGGAAAACACTGATATTGATGGAGCACCCACTTTGTCCCAAGTACTGAACCAGGTCCTGAATCACATTTAACCTTCATCTCTTTGATAGATGAGCTCTGTACCTATCACCCCTATTTTATAGAGCTAGGTACTGAAGCTTAGAGAAACTAAGTGACTCTCAAAGTCACAGAGCTAGTAAATAGATCATGAAATCAGCATACAAACTTAGTCCTTGTTAGTTCTATTCCCTAGATCACTGACAGCTAAGAAAGAATTAAAACCAAGCAAGTTTAACTAGGACAAATTCTTTCTTGCAATTTGGGAGACGATGTATATATTAAATATTTTAAAGGCATCCTGGAAAAACATAGTTATCTAAAAGAAAATATCTGTCCAGATACATAAGAGGCCAAGGGTAAACAACTTTGTATTGGGTAAGAAAGAAATGCAGGAGGACTTATTGTAGGATGTGACTAACAATGAATAAATGGAGCCTCAGAAAGGTCAGAGACCTGAGTACAAGGTCACCCAGGCTCAGGGTGAGGAGGGGCCACCCCAGGATAATGTGAGGCTATTTCCAGGGTGTGGGCCTGGAGGGGAGCCCCTATACACAGTTCTTTATGGTGATCCTAAAATAAAGCTTGCTTTCCCTACATTTTCTTTAGGATCTGTGAAGAGTTGACCAAGGAGGAAAAGCAGGAGACTGATGAATTTCTTGAAGAGTGCATTATTGATCCTTCTCTCCGAGAACACCTCTCCATTCTGTCCCGCACCTTTGAGAATCAGAGGAAGCTGGTTCAGGGAGACAGCATGCTCTTCTTGAATAGCATTTTCACCATTGAGCCCCTGGTGAGCGTATAAGTAAAATCCAACCATGCGGTAAATACAAGTGGGTGTGCAGGGCTGTTTCAGTAAAAGCACTCATTCTGGGCCTCACATAGTGAATTCTGAGAGAGGTGAAGATTTCATCATAAGGGCTCTATTGTCACTGTGAGACACTGGGGGCAGGTCAGTGAAAGCATGCTCATAGGTCACTTTCTATGCACCAGTCACTGTGTTAAACATTTCATATGGATTACCTATGTCATCTCTTTTGTATACGACAACCCTACAGACAGAATTAGCACCCCAATCTATAGACAGGGAAATTAACAGAGAAATTCCACAGCTTGTGTAAAGATAAATAGCTAATGTCAGCAGTAAGAAATTCATCTCTGATTAACCTGGTTGTAGAACAGGATTTCTCAACAAGGCACTATTGACATTGGAGGCTAGATACTTCTTTGCCCTATACATCATGGGATGTTTAATAGTGTCCCTTACTTTTAGACACTAGATGCTAGTGTGACAGCCAAAACTGTCTCTAAGCAGTATGGAAATTGCTCTGGTAGGCAAATTGCCAGAGTTGAGAACTTCTTTGTGTTTAATTCATTGTGTGTGTACAATGCATTGATGAATAAAAGATAGTCCTTGACATTACATCTTTACCAGAGTTTAAATGGACACAGACTAAACTTTAAACCTGTCCATCACGGTACCTCACAATGAAAGCAGCTAGCAGCCTGCATGTGTGCTGTATGCCACGCACGGTGCCACAAACTGTCTGCATATTACCTTGCATTTAGCATTGTGAGAATGAAAATATCCATAGGAGCTGAGAAAGCCCACAGCTGGTTCAAATTGCTGAACTGTTTTTAGTTGTAGAAAAGATAGATACCTAGGAACTATTTAGAATACAAAATCACTTGTGGAAAATTCAGATTTTTTTTCCTTACTGCTAAATAGCTATTAAAAGACATAGCATAGAAAAGGATGTCCATAGCTAAATCAGTTTTAGAAGCACTAGGCTCAATATTGTTTGAAATGTTTCTTCGCCGTAAAACTTCAGAAAGTCGTAGATATAGTAACTACACTAAATCTCCAAGAGGAGCTTTTCCTTTGGATACATCCTCTGGGACTAATGTTTTATAAGACCCACTCTGAGGACCACAGATGAAGACAGTAAGATGTACAATGTAGTTCAGAGGCTGAGGTCAGGATCATAGGTTAAGAAGACTTCTTGAGAGAAGAACCTTGAACTGAATCTTGCGAAACAGGACTTCTGGAGAACAAAATTGTGCATGTGCATGGAATGCTTCATCCAGGTTTCCAAGAGCAAATCAGTTTGCTCAGTGCAAAGACAGCAGTTAGGAAGGTAAGGCTGGAGATGGACTGAGGCTGAATCTATATGTCAGAAGCTCCTCAGGACTCAGCCAAGCAAAATACTTCCCAGATTTAATGGGTTAGAGCAGCAATAAGTGAAATCTAGATGAAGACCAAAGTAAAAACAGATTAAATGCAGAGACAAGGAAAAGGTCCCAGAATTACTGAGTCAAGCAAGCAAGTGACTGGGATGGGCTAAGCCAGAGCAGAGCAACCAGTCCTGGTCATCTGAAATATACCAGGTCCGCAGAGTCCAAGATTCCTCCCGGCTAGTTGGTGGGGAGCCAGGCAGTAACTTCTCACCCTGCTTTGTATTGCCTTCTGAGAGCCAGTGGCACTGGAATCATGAATGCCATGGTCAGAGGGAGCAGGGTGGGAGGCCCATAGGTGAAGTCCTGTCCATTTCCGAGTTAGAAAAACTAAAATTACCTCCAATTCTTTTCTCATGCTTCTTCCCCTAAGCATGAGACTTTGAGACCGTCTGCAAGATAGACTGAAACACGGCCTACAATAGATGTTTGAATTTTAGACAGGAACCGTGTTAGGCACTTTTATCACAGGGCTTCTTTCCCTGTTAGGGAGAAAAATGTTAGACTTAAACAATAACACAGAGAAATGGAAATATTTAAATAAACGAGAGTAATTTGTTTATATTGTATAGAAAAAAATTTCCAGAAATAAGAAGAGAGTAAAATTCACTTACAATATAAAATCTTTATGAATCTATAATGATTTTATCTTTTCCAAACACTATTCAGTTTTACGCAGTAGTATTCATTATCTTATTGTTCTATTATTTGAATTGATACATTTCAAATATACACAATGATCGCTTTCATCATAGGGATTTCTTATCCATTGTGACGTATCTCAATTTCTTTTCCATTCCTTTACTCGCCCTTCACCTCTCTTCCTTTCTTATTTACAGAAGCTTTGTTTCCATTTTTCCTTCTTTCCTCATTATTTTTCCCTTCCTTTCTTCCCCCTCTTCTCTCCCTCGTTCCCCTTCCCAATGGAGTATTTTCTTCTGGTTTCATACCTAGTAGACATTCTGGTCCTTATTTATACTTTTGGTTTCTCATACCAGAGAAACAGTGTGATTTTTACACATGTGTTTGATTTATTTTACTTAAGAATATGGTCTCAAGGTCCATCCATTTACCTATAAATGTCTCAGGACTTTATGACTGAGTGGTAATCTGTTGTGTATTAGAAACCAATACATCTTTTTTCATTCATCAGTTGATAGGCATCTGGCTGTCCCCAAGATTTAGCTATTATAAACTATACTGCTATAAACATGAGTGTACATACATTGCTGTGGTATGATGTTTGTAATTCTTTTGAGAACTTACCAAAAAAGGGGATTGCCAAGTCAAATGAAACCTCTAGTTTTAGTTTTTTGATGAATGTCCACACTGATTTCTACAATGTTTACAAGAGTTTACACTCCTACCAACAATGAAGTAGGGTTCCTTTTTCCCCACATCTCTGTAGCATTTGTTACTGGTTGATTTTTTGCTAACTGCCATTCTTTCTGGAGTGAGATGGAATCTCAGTGTTGATTTAGTTTGCATCTCTCAAATGACCAGTGATGCTGAGTGTTTTTTCACATATTTATTTGCCATTTGTATGTCTTCATCTGAGAAGTATCTATTCATTTCAACAAATGCCCATTTTTGAATGGAATTTTTAAATTTGTAGGAGGCAATCTTGGGTTTTTTAGTTTTTTACATATACTATATGTTAATCCTCTATCTAAGGAACAGCTAGCAAAATTTTTTCATACCCTGTGGTGTGTGTCTTCACTGTGTTGATGATCTATTTTGCTGTACAAAAGCTTTTTAATAAGATGAGATCCCAGTTACTGATTCTTTATATTTCTCTTATGACTGGGTTTTGTTCATAAAGTCTTTGCCTACACCTATGTCTTCAAAAGTTCTACTTACCTTATCTCCAAGCAGATTTATTGTTTCTATTTTAAATTTAGACCTTTGATCCATTTTGAATTTAGATTAATGTATGATGAGAGATATCTAATTTTTGTCTTTGGCATGTGGAAGGCCAGTTTTCCCAGCATCACTTATTAAACAGGGTTATCTTTCTTTCAGTATATATTCCTTTTGCCTCTTTAGTCAAAGATAAGGTGGTTGAGTGTCTTTAGAGTTGTTTCTACATCTTCTGTTCTGTTCATTGATCCTCAAGTTGTTTTTTGCCACTATCATGCTGTTTTTATTACAGTAGTTTTGTAGTATGATTTAAATTCAGGGATGTAACGCCTCTTGACTTGCCTTTGTCACCCAGAACTGTTTTTTGCTATTCTAGGTCTCTCTTCATTCCAAATAAGTTTTGGGATAATTTTCTCTAGTTCTGTGAGATATTGTATTGGTATTTTGATCATGATTACATTAAATCTGTATAACAATTTTGAGATTATGGTTATTTTCATTATGTTGCTTCTTCATACTCCAGAACAAGAGATATCTTTCCATTTTTTGTTTTTGTTTTTTGTTTTTGTTTTGTTTTTTGAGACAGGGTTTCACTATGTGGTTCAGGCTGGCCTTGAACTCACTTAGTAACACTCCTGCTTTAGTCTCCCAAGTGCAGGGATTATAGACGTGTACCACCACATCCAGTCTTCCATTTCCTGAGATCTTCTTCCATCTTGTTTTTCAGAGTACCATAGGTTTCAAGGTAAACACTTTTTACTTACTTTGTTAGATTGATTCCTAAATCTTTCTTTCTTTTTTTCTTTCTTTCTTTTGTATATGAAACCTCCAATCCCAGCTTTCTGAGAAATCTCCAGACTGACCTCCACAATGGCTGCACCAGTCTACACTCCCACCAACAGTGCAGGAGAGTTCCTTTTTGCCCACAGCCTCTCCAGCATTTGGTAGTTGTCTTGAGCCTGTCCATTCTTTCTGGAGTGAGAGGGAATCTCAGTGTGGTTTTAATTTGCATTTCTCTGATGACTAATTATGATGAACATTTTTTCATGTATTTATTTGCCATTTGTATTTCTTCATCTGAAAACTGTGTATTCATCTCAAATGCTCATTTTTGGATTGGATCTTTAAATTTTGGGAATCTTTTATATTTTATTATTATTTATGTTTTAGACAGAAGTCCTTTGTTTGAGGGACAGTTAACTAAAATTTTTTCCCACTTTTTGTTTCTTCTTTTCCCTATGCTGGAGATTTCTTTCAACATGCAGAAACTCTTCAATAACACGTGATCCCAGTTATTGATTCTGGGAAGTATTTCCCATGCAGTTTGATTCCTGTTCATGAATTCTCTACCTACCCCTGTGTCTTCAAGATTTTTTACCTAATTTGTCTTCCAACACATTTAGTATTTCTGTTTTAATATTTAGATCTTTGATCCATTTAGATTTTAATTTAGTACATGGTGATAGGCATGGGTCTAGTTTTAGTTTTCAGCATATGGAGAGCCAGTTTTTCCAGCACCATTTATTAAAGAGACTATTGTTCTTCTAGTGAACATAATTGGCCCCTTTATCAAAGATAAGGTGGTTGAGTGTGTTTGTAGTTGTGATTTTATCTTCTAATCTATTCCATTAATCTTCAGATCTGTTCTTATTCCAGTACCATGTTGATTTTATTACAGTAGCTTTGTAGTATAACTTC